GCTCTGCCGATCTCACACTTCAGTGTCGAGTGATGTAACTAGTGGAGTACCGCAGGGATCTGTACTAGGACCACTGCTCTTCTTAATTTATATCAATGCTGGCCAAGACAGCTAACAAGTTTGCAGGTGATACCAAAATTAAATTTAAAAAGATGTCGATAAAATTGAAGACAAACACGGTGCTGATTGCATTTGATACACACAATTGCGTGCAAAATTCTACAGGCAGTAAAAGTGCAAACTATAAATACAAAATGGAAAATGCTGAACAGGAGGAGGCTACTTATAAAAAAGACTTGTATATGCAGACAAATATATACACCTTATCGATCACGTGGTATTGCCATAAAAAAGGCTAACAACATTTTAGGATACAGTCAAAGGCATATTCATTATACAGTATGAAGGGAAGTTATGGAAAATTGTCTAATGCGATAGTAAGACTATCGTCAAGGGTTAGTGGAGTGTAGAACAAGCTGCCCATCAACCACCATGTAGTTGAAGGCTTCTTTCACAAGATGCATGGATGATTGATCCTGGGATCAACTGCATACTGTCACAATTATAGCCCCTCCTCCTTAAGGGTGCTCGAGCCCTTTCACTTCAGACTTAATTCTGTGCACCTGACCCCTTTTCCCAGCCCACCTTAAAAGCCAGGCACTGACGTTCATCCTGGCTCTGCATCTGGTTTCTGCACCGTGTGAGTCCGGGACCTGGAAGCGCCCGGTCCCATTAAGGTTTTAACCCCTGTTCCTGTTCCTTGTCCGCCGGTTCCAACCCGGTTCGTGTTTTTAATTCCTTGATTGGATGGATCACCTGGCTATGGACTTTCTTGCGTTTTTGGATTCCCTCTATGGATTACTTTTGGATTGTTCGCCTCGGCCACACCTCCCCCGTGCGCCAGCGCACTTCGGACACGAAAAAAAAACATTTTCAGCCCCGTATTCCTGCATGACTTTTCCCCAGTGTTTCCCCACTTCTTCGGATTGTGTCGTCCGCATAGGGTCCGGAAAGAACTGTTCGTTACACATACTAACTACCGAATACATTAGGAGGGCTGAATGGCCTGCTCTCATGCGTAAGCCCTCTTAAGAGCATATGAAATAAATCTAGGCCGCCCACTTCATTTGATTGCTCCTCTGTGCCGTGCATACACTTTCTTAAAAAGAAACATGAAGTGCATTTTTAATAAAGATTTAATGATCGCCATAGGGCATTCAGTCGTAATTAACGTCCCCTTTCAGTACAGAGTAATGATATGCCGTACTGTGCAATCTCATCTCTTCCCACAATGAAGCGTTTACAGCAAACACTTATTGAGTGCTCATGGTACTATTTGCCCTATTAATCAGGCTTGCATTCTGTATTAAAAGAGGTTAAGTTGTAATATTAATTTTTGTTTAATTACAGTACTGCCTTACAGCACTCTTCAGACTATTCACATTTAAAGCATTTTTGGTAAGTTTTAAGTTGAGGGTGACTGTAAGTAATGTATTGCTACTCGATTACTGAAACGCAGTTTGGCGAGTGCTGGAGAAGACCTGCATAACATAATCCTTTCCTTCATGTGTGAATCCGTTTCCCGATCAACTGCATACTGTCACGATTGTAGCCCCTCCTCCTTAAGGGTGCTCGAGCTCGGGCTCGTCAAGATGTTTTTCGTGCCCACGCTGCACCTCAGCGCCATGTCAGATTCCGCGGGTTGCCAGGGCGACGGCCCGGCTGTCTCGCGAGCCGGAACTTCATCCCGCTTCTCCGTGGGTCTGTGCTCTTCTCCCGCAGTGGAGCCGGACCCCCCGGTGAACCTGACATGCCGCTTCGCCAACAGCAGCGAGGAGGGCGCGGGGCGCACCGTGGTGGTGGCGTGGAGGCACCCCAACACGGCCGACGTGGAAGTGGGCTGGCTCACGCTGGTCTACGAGCTCCAGTTCCGCCGCGAGTCCGAGCCCCGCAGCTGGAAGGTAAGGGCCCGGACTCTCCTTCGCAGACTCGGCCTGAAACCTTGTTGTTTCTTGAGTAGGGAGGCCAGACCCAGTACAAGCTGACCAGCTCTTAGTCCTGGTGAGTCCACTGCGTCAGTAACTGTGGGGCTCATGTAATGCTGGTTAAACACTCTGCCTGAACAGCGGGAAACTGGAGGGAGACAGATATTCTTTTTTCAGTCTATTGCGGCCATATCACCCTGCAACACAATGGCAGCCCCCCTGAACCTCAGCAGGTGTGAGCCTGGTCAGTAGCTGGATGGGAGACCTCCTGGGTAAAACTAAGGTTGCTGCTGGAATGTTAGTGGGACCAGTAGGGGGCGCTCTCCCTGCAGCAGTCCTTGTGGGTCCTAATGCCCCAGTATAGTGACGGGGACACTATACGGTAAAACTAGGCGCCGTCTTTCGATTGAGACATAAAACCGAGGACCGACTCTCTGTGGTGATTAAAAATCCCAGGGCGTTTCTCGAAAAGAATAAAGGTGTTACCCTGGCGTCCTGGCCAAATTTCCCATTGGCCTTTACCAGTCACGGCCTCCTAATAATCCCCATCTCTGAACTGGCTTCATCACTCCGTTCTCCTCCCCACTGAGAGCTGGTGTGTGGGGAGTGTACTGGCGCAGGTGGGGCCGCACACTGGTGGTGGAGGAGAGTCCGCATTACCTGTGACGAGCTTTGAGTGAAGTTTCCAGAAAAACAAACTTCAAAGAATAGTTTTAATCAAAACCTGAATTCTCAAAATGTTACTTTCTTACATATTCACTCTCCTGTGTCAATATTCGGCAGAGCTTTCTTGGCAGTGATTACATCCCTGAGTCTTTTAAGCAAAGTCTCTACCAGCCTAACACACAAGCATGGCCCAATTTACACCCAGTTCTAGGCTTGTGCTCTGGGTCACTGGTCCTCCTGAAAACTGACAAAGAAATCGGAGTTTTAGGCCATTGCAGAGCGAAGCAGGGCTTTCCTCTGAAAATGTGCTTTGATACATCCATTTTTCCCTCACGCTAATCAAGCACCCCAGTCCCTGCTGTTGACACCCCAGTAAAATAAAGCAGGCACCACCATGCTCCTCAGCGGGGATGGTGTTGACAGGGAGCGACACACTGCATTGGGTTTGTGCCAGACGTAAAACTTCGCATGTAGACCATAATGACCCAGTTTTGCCCCGGCTGACCACACAACCTTCTGCCACAGGTCTGTGGTTAACACATAAATCCTGTTTTGCACGACTCCATATTGAGATGGGTTTTCGCTCGGTACATACTGATGTGATCCACGTTATCGAACTTTTGATCTGTCTTTTCGTGTTTTGTTTTTTTTTACCCGAAAATAAACTTCTTTCACCCGCAGGAGTGTTGTTGCGTTTGAAAGGTTCGAGCTCTCACTTGAACTATTCGCTTCCAAACGCAACACGGCACACGTCGGGAAAATCACTGAGATTTAAATCCAGCAAATCATCGACAATTCACCGGCTTACGGTCGGAAGCGCGCTGCGGTCACCGAGGAAAACAAACACCCCCGAGTTCTCTCGTAACTGCGAGCGGGACACTAAACCCACGGTGCCAACAAACCCATCGATAGCGTGTAGGTGCTGTCATTGCAAATTTAACAGGTTGTTCGTACGCCGATATGATCGAATCTATCTCGTAATTACGAGAACACTCCAGTATCCCCCCCCTTTGGTGGCAGCAGGGCGCTTCTGTGCCGGAGAGGGGCAGGGCAGATACCTCGGCCGGCTCGTTTTTTGAGGGGAGGGTTCCCGGTTTCTCTTCGTCCGCCGCAGGCGAGAGGTCTGCTGCGGGAGCCGAGGCTGGAGCTGCTGGACCTGCCGGCGGGGAGCTACGCGGTGAGAGTGCGCTGCAAGTCCCGGAACTCCGCCCTGTGGAGCAAGTGGAGCCGCCTGCTCACGTTTACCGTGCCGCCCAGACAGAGCCTAGGTGGGCAGCCCAGCAGTCAATCAGCAGTGCTCCTGAGCGGCGACACGGTTTGGATCGGGAAAGGCACATGTAGAACAGCTTAAGTGTACAGGACATCGGATTAGTGATTTTTCCAGGCATCCATTCTCAGTAGCTTTCTCTTGCACCACGATGACAAATTTTGCCATCGGTTACTGTACATCAGCACACTGAAACTCACAGCTATCAGTCCACAGGAGCTCAGCAGGTGTGAGCCTGGCCAGTACCTGGATGGGAGACCTCCTGGGAAAGCTCAGGTTGCTGCTGGAAGAGGTGTTAGTGGGGCCAGCAGGGGGCGCTCATCCTGCATTCTGTGTGGGTCCTAATGCCCCAGTATAGGGACGAGGACACTAGACTGTACAAAAAGGTGCTGCCCTTCAGATGAGCCATTAGATGGAGGTCCTGACCCTCTGTCTCATTAAAAATCCCATGGTGTTTCTTGAAAAGAGTAGGGGTGTTACCCTGGTGTCCTGGCCAAATTCCCCCCTGGCCCTTACCTATGATGGCCTCCTAATAATACCCATCTATCAATTGGCTTCATTGATTTGTTCTCCTGCCCACTGAGAGCTGATGTGTGATGAGTGTTCTGGCGCACTATGGCTGCCGTCGCATCATCCAGGTGGGGGCTGCACACTGGTGGTGGTGGAGGGGATCCCCATTACCTGTAAAGAGCTTTAAGTGGAGTGTCCAGAAAAGTGCTATATAATTGTAAGGAATTATTAATTTTAAGTGCCTTTGGCATGTAGTATACAAAATGGAAGTATGAAATTTAGCACTACTCAGAAAAAATAATTCAGATTTAATGACAACCGAAGCATGGAAAGTCATAGAGATGGTGTGAAAAGTTGTTGTATTAAAAATGGATATGAAAGTCCAACATCTGCTGTATTTGATTTAATTCTGTGTTATCGCTTGTTTACCGATCTCAGATCAATAGAAGGACCACTTCTTAGCACTGGCTGATTTTTCATCCTGACAAATCTATTGCTGTTAAATGTGTGACATTTTGTAGTGAACGGTGACATTTAATACTAAATGCCATTAAATGCCATTCAAATAAGATTAACCAGATGGGTACTTTTGTGGTTTAACATGTACAGTGCTCCAAAGGTAGGATTTCTCACTTCCAAGACTAGTCAGAGGAGAAGGATGCAACAGAGAACTAATGTTAGGACATTGGGGCAGAGCGGTGGCTCTGTGGCTCAGGATCTGCGCCTGTGACTGGAAGGTTGCCGGTTCAAATCCCGTGGCTGGCAGAGGAATCCTACTCCGTTGGGCCCCTGAGCAAGGCCCTTCACCCTAACTGCTCCAGGGGTGCTGTACAATGGCAGACCTGCGCTCTGATCCCAAGCTTCTCTCCCTCCCGTCTGTGTGTCTGTGTCTCCATGGAGAAAATCTGGGGTATGCGAAAAGACAAATTCCTAATGCAAGAAATTGTATAGGGCTAATAAAGCAACATTATTATTAAACAGAAAGGAGTAAGGTCATTTAAAACAATTATCCTCTTCCACTGCTTCTTTAGTGAAGCACTAATGTCTGGTATTTCTGAGGATGCTGAACAAATGTTATGAGGTTTGGAATTAAGGGCGTCTCGGCTGTATGGCACAAGTGTGGTCACTGGGCAGATATAGCGCTAATCTAAAGACTATAGTGAGGATTGCTTGAGGGAGAAGAGTAATACAGCACAAATCATCAGGCTGCCAAGGACAGCTTGGTGGATCAAGGATAAAAAAACGTTGCAATATTAAAAGTGTACAAGTGTACAGAAAAGGCCCTTATCTTATTTTTCAACATAACTAAACTGACAAAGCACTCCCTGTCTTTTGCAAAACCATGTACTGTATCTTTCTCTTTTCATCACAGATAAGATGCTGGCACTGATACTAGTAACTGGTGTTGGGGTTATGGCTTTCTTGATCATTGGATTTGGCATAGTACCGCAGAGCAAGAGGTAAGGGCAATTCACCAAACTGAAGATGCATGCTGTGAAAAGGCCGTTATAAAAATACAAAAATATAAAATGTGTAGGGGTTGTTTTGTTTTTCCATAGCTAGATGTCAGTATTACACAGCCTTGGCAGTACAGTGTGTAAAAAAATCTGGAAACCAATCAATTTTCAGAAACGAGAACGTAAAATCTTTTTTTAAGGGTTTCAAGGTTAAGACATCCTGCTCTTGCATTAGTAGAACGTCATTCTTTGCAAAAACAAGAGACTTCATTTCTTTCAGTAGAGCTTGAATTGATAACATGGTACAGTACACAGTATAGCAGCAAAACAGCAACAGAAATGGAAGGCATAGTACTTCACAATGCTTGCCATTCCAGGATGCACTGGGGGTCAAATAAAATACATCTAGACTATAACTAAAGAAAGGTTTTGATTTGAGGACGCGTCAGTGTTAAGTGTGTAGTCTCATTGGCCAGAGAAATACTTTTTTTTTCTTTGAAACTGAAAGAAATGAAAGTTTTAATTTCTTTCTTTTCAAAATCTTATGTAGGAGCCAGAATATTGAACTGTACTCCTTTTTTTGCAAGGTCATTTAGAGATGCACAGTACAAAAAAAGCTGAAAAGGAAGAACTTAAAGGATAGTTTCTTTCAAGAAGAGAAGGTTTTAAAATAAAAACATTATTCAGTTCTGGGCAGCATGGTAGTGCACTGGTTAGCACTGGGGTCCTGGTTTCTATTCCTGGGGTGCTATCTGCATGGAGTTTGCATGTTCCCAGGATCTTGTGGGTTTTCCTCACACTGCCCAAAGACAAATGGGTAGGTTTATTGGCTGTTGTATAGACTGTGCAGGTGTGAGTGTGTGTGTCTGTGTCTGCATGTGCTCTACAATGGACTGGTGTCTTTCCTAGGGTGTATCCTGTCTTGAGCTCAGTGCTTCCCAGGATAGGCTCCGGGCCGCACTGACCTTGAATTGCATAAGCAGTTATTAAAAGTGATGCGATATGACATTGTTCAGTCCTTGTTTTAAAACACGTGTTAGGGCATTATTCGAAGACGGTGTTTTTTAATACAACCCGCCACATGCTGTAAATGGTTTCCAAATCTTTCATTTGTAAGTGAAGCTGATGCACAAATGCTCACTCTGCTTTGTAGAGTGTAAGGACAATAGGTGTGAAGAACCCACTTTGACTTTAAAGTCTTAAAAACAGATGACTGAACTATTTCTCAGTAGAGATGAAGCTGAGACCACTTCAATATACTGTATTCACTGCTTATAAGGAATTGGAATCAGATGGAAGGTGAGGAAATTCTCTGGACTCGCTATGGTTTACAGCACCATGCATTATGCAGATTACAGCCTTTTAAAAAAAATCAATGTTTCACAGAGAAGAAAAAAAGCCTTTAATGTTCTGCTTTGATTTCTTTTTTTCTGGTAGGATTAAAGCTTTTCTCTTGCCTCCAATTCCTAAACCCAGAATCAGAGGGATTGATCCAATGCTTTTGAAGGTAAAACTCCCTCTTAGTTGTCGGCAATGATAATCTCGCTCTTGATCCATAGTAAAGCAATCCTTCAGGGCTTTTTATTTCCATCCTCTGAGCAATACCTGACTTAATACCTCACACTTGAAGGAAAAATGAAAACAAAACCAAGGAACCCTTTATTAGGCAAATGTGTATATCAGCCCCTTTTTAGGCCATTCTGAACTTTGTTTTCTGTAGGAATAAGGATTAAATTGTTTCTGTGTGACACGATGCATCATCAGAACATCTCGTACTCACTGCAAGACAAAATCATGATGTTTATTTAAATCAGATCATTATATCAAGAGATCTAATCACTTTTCTGCTCAAATTTCAGAACATCATAATTAGCCAAGTGTTTTTTTTTTTTTGGAAAAGGCTATACTGCATGTAGCAGTGAAAAAGCTTATCAATAATGGATCATAAGCACGGTTTCTGCAATTTGACATCAGTGAAACAAAATCGCAGGAGTTCTAAAAAGAGATGCTCAGAGTCAGCTGCCAGTGAAGTCTGCCTACAAGTTTATTTCTGCTTTGATAAATAGAAATGAGGTGTTTTGATGGTATCCTGATATAAAATCAGTATTTTCATCTTTTTTAAGTCAAATATCAGCAGAGTAAAACTGAAAACAGAAAATGTCAGAGCAGAAACAGCTCTCTAAGTATTTACAGAACTTAACGAATATCCTGCAACACAGAACCTTTTACTTGACTGTTTCATAGAGCTTAGCAAGTCTTTGTTTTTACCAGTGTGGCAAGTGTACTTACTGTATATGCTGTGGATTATTGGATTTATCCAAGTGAAACATGCAAACAAAACTAAACGTGCTAAATTGAAAGCCTAGAGTCTGCAAAGTAGATCACATACTCATTCGCGTCAATCTTGGATACTTGATATTGGAAACGCAAAGACATCATTCACTTTGTTTTCTGCATAATATCCACTCTGCTTCTCCGTACCACTTTTTTTTTTCCAGAAGGGCAAAATTGATGAGATCAATCGTCTCTTCTCCTCCTTCCACGGGTACAGTCCTCCGCAGTACAAGGAAGACGCCTGGTTTGAGGTGAGCACGGACGAAGGCCTGTGCCTCAGAGACCCGCCGCTGGCCCAGACGGGGGAAGAGGGGTTCAGGGGGAAGCCCGGCGTCCAGCCCCCTGGCAGCTGTGACCGGGAGGTCGGGGAGCCCAGGGAGGAGCAGCAGCCGGCAGTCATCCACGCTGAAGAAAGCAAGAGAAGCTCAGGTGAGCAGGAACTGAGGGAGAAGCCCACATGGGGCCCCCAGACCCCGATGGACGTGGAGAAGTCCTTCGAGGCCATCACACACCCCACGGCGGGCTACAGTGTTCTTATCAGCCCAGCCAGGGGCCCGCTGGACTTCTACACCTGCGTCAATGGCGTGAGCACCGACGGCACGGTCCATCTCGTACCCCACCTGCCAGATCGCAGGCTGCGGGCCGCCTGCCGAGAGACCAAGGCCTCCCCCGGCGGGGCAGACGACACCAGGCGGCTGGAGCTGAGCGAGGCGGCCGGACGGCTCAAGCCGGTTGCTCGGGCCTGTAGCAGACTGCCGGGGGGGGCGGCCAGCAGCTACACCACAGTGGAAGCTCTGCGCCTGCAGCCGGGTGTGTTTGCCCCTTCCCTTCGGGCGGAGGAGGAGGAGGAGGAGGGAAGCCCCACCGGGGGCGGCCGGTGTGATGCCTACTCGCGCGCGGAGCAGAACGAACTGGCAGTGCCCTTACTGCCGCCAGCCGTGGCGGGGAAGATGTGAGGGCGGGCAAAAGCCCTGCGTACGCTTTCTTCAAGCAGGCTGGCTTCTCGTGCGTCGGCCGCGCTTGCCTCTGACTGGACCGCGCCCTCTGCCGTACTCCTCTACTCTCCTCCTTTCACACGCTTCTTGCCAAACGACTCACTTTCTCCTGGTGGTGATTCTAAAGCCATTCCTCTTTTTTCTATCACAATCAGCCCGATTTGAAATAGCGTGGATAGTGGAATACCATTTTTCGCTCGTGCTTTTAAGTGTCCCAGTATAGGAGGTTAGATACGTTTTTGAATAGTCAGAGCAATTTTTGATTTTTCCTAATAGGTGTAAAGTGACTTTTTTTAAAAAGAAAACGGACATTTGCATGCATTCATCACACAGATCCACTGTAACCAAACAACGGAGGAGAGAGGAATTGAAGCAAGCCTTCCAGACAAGACTGGCCGTGTGCTTTGAGGGTGTTTTGAGCCTGTGTTTCAGCTACAGTTTGATACAGGGCAAGGCAATAAAACCAAGAAACTGGAGTCTGTCCTCCATGATGGGGACACACAGCCCATTGAAAGACGCTACACTGAAAGGCCACAGGAGACTACCATGATATTGGGAGTACCAGGGTGGGACTTAGAGAAGAGAAGAGGTGACGTACGTCAGGTTCTTCAGAATGAAATGGACATATCTGTGTTTTTAGTGTTCTTAGTGTAAAATATAAAGATATTATTTGTCGTGTTTTGTATTGAGTTGCAGTGTATAAGTGCCTTTTATAAAACATCCAGCTAGTCCACAGTGTTCCTATTCATGGTCTTAATAAGCTAAATCCAGTGATGAATCAGTTATGAACATGATGGGACTAGTGCTGGAAACACACTATTACTTGATTATATTCCTCACTCCAACATGTTGGTCTCTAAACGTACATAGAACACAATTACACAAGTTTTTTTTTCTTAAAGAATGTTGTCCACAGAAGTAGGACTTTAGGTTGCCTTAACTTTCTTGCTATAGTGTTGTGGGTGTAAGGAGCAACCAGCTTTGTAGAATATTAAACAGGAGAAATCCACTGTTCTATAACGTGCTTCGTGAGTACATTAAAATCTAAATCGAAAATATAGCTGCTAATAAAAGCCCGATTACGTTTCCTGCTAAGTGCTTGCTTTCTCATTTTTTTTAAAACCCCGGGGTCAAGGACCTCAGTATTTGTTGCACTAATCACGCTCCTGCTTGGTTTCCCCCACACACAAGACCAAGAGACTGTTGTGAGAATGTGTGTGTTTGTTTCGACAGTTCTGCGGTCTTCGAGCATTACCCGGGACGCACCTCCTTTGTACAGCTCCGCAGTTTGTCACAAGGCAGCGGTAGGAAACAGAAACGAGGGGGGACCTGCTTTTGTGAAGGAACAAGTAAAAGGTTTATTCCATGGTGAAAAGTGAAGAGAGAAAACACAACGTTTCGGCCGTGAAGCCTGGAGCCGCGGGTGACGGGCCGGAGCGCGGCGGCTCTTCCCGGTGATGGATGATTTTAATTAGAGCTGGGGGGGGGCCCGGGGTGATGTCGGGCTGCGCGGCTGCTCTGTGGTCTGTGCTGCTATTCTCTGTTCCTCAGCCTCCGGGTCCTCACCCTCACCCCTCAGCGGTGCTGCGAGGAGAGGTGGCGTCTTGCAGGAGGAAACCTTCAGGCTTTGAAAAACCTTCAGCTGTCAGTGCCCTGGAGACTTGCACCTGTTTTTTGTAAGACCTCTGGAGCAGAGGCGTGCAGTCCAGACCCCGGGATCTGTGGTTTTTCTTCAGTGTCCTCCTCTTCTCTCCTTTAACCTGTTTGTGATGATTGAAAGTATGAGACCTTCGCAACCCGCAGAGGTGCACGCCTCTGACTCGGTTTCCCACCACTAACCCGAAACCCGTTCTGTTCTGAGTAGCGGGGAGTCATGTGGTCACCCTCAAGAGAACTTACTTTGATCTGTTAATCGTGCTCACGTGTTGTTTTCCTGTTTTATTTTCCAAATTGCAGGTGCTGTTCCTTTTGTATCTTACTGCCCCCAGCTGTCTGTCACAAACTGCCGTTTATTTCTAGAATGTTCTGAGATTAAAAAAAAAAAAGAAATTCTGCTTGCTGAAACAAAATTCCCCAGGCTGTCTGAAAATGTGTGTAAACTGTTTCAAACAGTTACTCAGCGAAAGGGTTTTAGGAACACTTTAGAACTGGGACTGGCACTTATTAAATGTTTTCTATTAATAAAGCAATTAACTCAGTGCCATAAATGCGTTAATGTGATGCATAATGTGAATAATATTTTATTTACAAAGTTCAGTTTTGCAACCTGCTGTATAAATTATTGTGTGACTATTTTCAGGTGGAGAGTAGATCAGTGTACTGATCTACACAAAATGCAGAATTACGTGGAGAACCTATATCCATAAATGTGAGTTGTTTCTTTCTATCGGGATACTGCTATCATGGAATACAGATAATTGATAATATACTGATGGAAAAAAGAAACGCAACACCTCCTCCTCCACACTCTGGCCCTCCTGTCTGCGTGGAACAGCCTGAAGAGTGACTCCTCGGTGAAGAGGACCTGATGCCACTGCTGATGAGGCCATCGCAGCCTCTGTCTGGCCCAGGCCAGTTGGGGTGACGTCTAGGAGTTGTGAGCAGAGGGCCTCTGACAGGACAAGTTGCAATGTTTTACTGCACAAGGTATATTGCTCATCAGAGGGCTTAAAACAAATCGACACCTTTTTGTGAAAGTACATAAGCTCTTTACTATAGTATTCTCATTCCAGAAAACGTTGCATTTCTTTTTTCCATCAGTATCATTACTGGTATACTTTTCTAGAATATATTATATTTACAACAGTAGTTGAAAGCAGTTTAGATCTTAGATCTGTGCTGTTTACATGAGAGGGCTCATTGTTCTTTACATTCTTTCTAAGTCAACCATAGCTGAAGGAAATCGTGACTCACATCTTTCTGGGCAGCTTCAGATATGTGGATTTCTAAAGAACAGCACTATAGGCTGTTATGGGAAGTTTGAATTCACTATTCTGTTCAATCCTTTAGAGGAAGTGTTAAAACAACTCCTGTTTGGTGTCGTAGTGTATCGACTGAAAATCTGTTAGAAGGTTATGAAGCTGTCTTGTCACAATATTTGTAGAACTTACTATGCTATTGATATACTGGCTGTCATTTGGTTGGAACTATTTGTATTCCACACACATCACATTTGACCATAAACCATTCCTTTTGTTTCCCTCTCCTGCTGGCTTTTGTATCCATATCTTGATTTTTTACAGTCTTCTGAAAAGTGTAATTGTGTATAGCTGAACTGAAAGCTCAAAAGTGCTCCAGACATTGAATTCAAAATGTCCTGTCATAATATAACTTTACAATGCAGAACACAGGAGTTTCTGTAAGCTTGGTTTATGGATAGTATTCTGTTCATTATCACAGCTTTACTGAAGAGGTTAATACATTCTACTCTTTCTTGTTTCTCATACCTATTAAGGTGTGTGTGGCACGGGCCCTAGTCTTGTTTTATGTGCATTGAAGTACAGTACAGTTGTTCATTCTTTACAACCGACAAGCAGTGTTTCTGCTAACACAAAGTAGAATAACAATAGCCAAGAAACCTGGAAATGCAACACATTTTAAGTCCACACTAAGAATAAAATAGTATTTTATATTTCTCATCATATGAAATCCCTAATTTGAGGACTGTGTTTACTTAAATTGATTTAATATTGATTTAATAGTGTATATACTGGCATATCAAAAATGCAACTCAGTATTGGATCCAGTGGCTTGACCAGCCACAGCTCAGTATCAGTGGTTTGTGGGAGTTCTCTTGACGTGATAACCTCAAGAAGTTGCTTCCTGTAGACTTCTCATTGGCTTAGACTCTCTGACCACTCCTGCATTGAGAAGCTCTTCAGCTCCCCCAGGCTCAGTAGTTTGCACCTCTGACTCACTTTCTTCAGATCACACTACCAGTGCTCTGCTGCAGACAATGAAGGACAATCAGGAACCCCGATTTTATGGTGCCCTAACCACTTGGACAGAGATTTGTGATGTGCATTGCTGTAAAGTCCACCTGGGATCAGACTTGAGCTTCCTGATGAGACACTAGATTTTTGACTGACACATCCCAGTATGCTTTGGGTTGGGAGTCACCTTGGCCCTTATTTCTAACGGTGAGACCACAGGGATGCAACACGATGGGGATGACACTGTCGTCCACCTTAGTTTCCATTTTCTGAGCTCAACGCACTACTGGCATGTTCAAAGCAGAATCTGTCATCTTCTGCCTGTTCAAAGTCAGCCAGTTTCTCTGCAACAGAGACACTTTCCTTCTTTTCAGGCTGCTGTGTAGCTGTGCAGCAGACAGCAGATTCATGAGAGCTCTGTATCCTGGTGGACTGAGAGTTTTCTGAAGGTTCCCAGCTGTTGTCTCTGGGTCTCCCAATAGCCTCTCTGACCACACTTTTAGGAAGAACCTTCTGCTAGTGGTATTTTGTATTTTATGTATAGCTGTCACTCAAGTTTACTCTTTTTGTTTGGTTGAGACCTTCTCACAATTCTCTGTTATTCTTTCTCTATTGTGATACACAGCACTAAGTAGAGTAGCTACACCCTACACCCTAAAGTGCACCCTACTTTAATCCCAAACAGAATCCAGAAGTTTCTGTCAACTTCCAGCAGCTTTGTGAAATCACATGACCAAATTAGGCACTAGACGATTACTTTGACAGAATTCATTTTCAACATATTTACAGTACATGAATACACATGAGTGTTGTTGGTACAAGAAGTACTCATATTTGGGCATTTTATGACTTTTGATCCATATTAATAATTGGTGTACTCCTGTTTTTACTTCCCTGATTCAACTTTTAATTACACTTCATCCAGAGGATGAAAAAAACTTAGAGGCAACAACATATATATGTCTGTATAGCGCAGCAGGCCAGCTGGGCTGGGTAAGTGCACATTGTAGTACATGGCTGTGATGTTGGACAACTTGATGGCTGAACATTGCTGTGTGGTCGCCCCCTATTGGAAGTTTTTGTGCACTACAGCTTATAGAAAGCAGTATGTTGCCACCTTACAAGGCAATTCAGACTGTCTGCCAATGTCACCTGCCTTTAGAGGAAATTCAGTAGTTCAATTCCCCACCTCTAGCTCTAGAGCATGCTTGACTACTTCTAGCATGACAATATACTGGCCGTACTGTATACAATTTATACACCCACACAGGCAGTGTGTTTCATTACACAAAGGTCACTTGGACTCCCTTCCAAGTCAGGAGTACAGAAAATAAAGATAAGGAGGATAAGCTAAATATGCTTGGAAGGCCATTGAATGTTTCTTGTGTGTATAGTACATGTTACACTAGGTCCTGGAAATTATTTTCTAGTTCGTGTTCGTATGGACTAAAGAAATTGTTGTATGTCACAAAAGTCAAAGAAATAAAATGCAAATGTATTCTCTTTATACTGTTTCTTTTTTCCCCCACTTTGAGTGTGTGTAACCTACTTTTCCATTTCTTCAATTCTGAGATGAGCCTTTTCATCTCAGAACACTAATTGCTACCTAATTACAAGAACTGCCATGAATTTTCATATTCTTGCAATCACCTTGGTCTGCCAAGATGTGATTTATCCAGACACATGATTTTACAATGTTTTACTTGCTGTTTTTTTTTGTTCTTAATTCTTTCAACACATCACTTACCAATTGCAAAAAAGTAACAAAGTAGCAAGTTTATTAGCTCTGTTTGGTACTGTATTAAAACTTGATACATTCTTCCATTAATGATAGACTTAAAAAATCAATTCTTAGACTTGTTATATTGATTCTCTCAAATCAAATACAACTAAGTAACTGCAGCGTTGCAGACGCGTCAGTATGACAGTAATTTTGGACAGAATTCTTTCTTTTAGTGCACTGCTGTTTTCTTTCTGGTGTTTTAATGCCTGAGTCCACATACTGTAATTTATTTAGCTGTAGCTTGAGAAATGGTAAATTTCAAACCGTTTTTTGAAAGTCCAAGCAATGGTACTACTAAGAAAACAAATACAGAAGCAGTAGAGAAGAGTACCCAGTGGTCTCACTCTATGGTAGATTAGTATAGAAAAACTATAGTTACA